AGGGTGGAGAAATAGTACTGAGAACCACTTCTCCAGTGAAGCAGAGAGTAAATTGAAAAGCCAGCTCAGGTAGAAGAAATTGAGTCCGGGGCCACGGATGAGCTACTTTATCCTTGCGGATAACGGTGTGGATGTAAAAAAGCTGAACCAACGGCCTGGGACCTGAATAAAGTTTTAAAGGGTATTTTATATATATATATACACACATATACATATGTGTGTGTGTATATATGTAACTTCTTATGGTATGAGTCTTTCTCGGGTAACTGTGATGGATTCAAGGAACCAAAATTTAAACTTTGCATGTATTTCTAAGAGCTGTGTGTTACTTCTTTATCACTTCTATACTAATAGGGGAAATAATTTGTCCATTACCCATTTTCTTTCCTAGTCTTTTTAACAAAGGTTATCTGAAGAGTGGAAGTGGGTCATTCCCCCCCCCCCCCCCCCCCGTGATTATTTGCTGTGGAGTTTTATTTTTACAGTAGTTGCAGGCTCATCTTAATTTAGGATTTGTAGGAGAAAAAGACAAATAACTAGTTTCTAACTTAATATGCTCTGCTTACTGACAACATGCTAATGTTTCAACAAATGAATTAATTTTTCCTACCTGTTCTATAAAGAATCTGTGTGCATGTGTGTGTTTTCATTCAACAGCWGCAGTTTATCGTTAAATATGGMAGCAGTGCCATAGAATATTTTCAGRTTAARAAAGTTATTTAAAGTGTTTAGTCTATCTGGAAGATGTTTTCCAGTCCAGAGTGTAGAAACCATTACTCTGGGCTGCTACAGCATCCCGAAAGTGCCACAGGGTGGCAGCCTTTCAGAGTACTGCATTRTTATCCTGTGGAAAATCCTGTAATTCATTTTCTGCCTGAAAACTGATGAGCGTACTGCTGTACTTCTTTGTTACAGCAACCACTGTCCACTACATCATACTGTATTTTGTCTGGATGGTCACAGAGCTTRAAAGATTGTTCTCTGTGAGGCATTTTGATCTTGAAGCTGAGATTAAAAAACAAGGACAGTCAAATATGGTTGTGGCATTCTAGTTCTGGGTTTTCTTCTTTAACCTACGCTGTGCTTAATGGAGTCTGGAGGGTTAAACTCTTTTTCCTCTTGCATGTGATGGGTTGGTTTGGTTCCTCACTCAGATCCTTCAAGTACCTTCTATGACATTTTGTTTAAGTAGGGATTACAGCTTTAAAAGTGCTTTGAATAAGGACAGCCATTATTGTGGGTGATGTGTAAAAAGCAGTTATTACTGTTGGTTGTTGAAAAAGAGATTTCTGTGTRTGGAAGTCTCTGAGATTACCACAGGCACTGCAAGAATTGTGTTCAGATGGAGCTGACTGTCTCTATAAACTCCACAGGACTATGAYCCCAAAAGTTATACAACTTTAATACCCATATAAAGAATTTATCAGTTCCACACAAGTTTGCAATTGTGCTCATAGGAGAAAAATTGCAAATTTTTTTTTCTAAATCTTGACCTAACTAAGATTCCTTAATACATGATTGTGATGTCAAACAGCAGCTTTGAGGATACATTGGAATTGATGATTGCATTGATTGTGAAAACTCAGTCCTTATGAAATGAAAACAATAAATACTTCCCCATAAATCAACATAAGTACGGGGAACTGAATTCTCTTCTGAAGCTGCTGCCTGGGTCACATAAAAAAATGCATGACCAGCAGGCTGAGAGAGGTAATTCTGCACCTCTGACTGGCTCTTGTGAGACCCCACCTAGAGTGCTGCAGCCAGCTCTGGTCTAGATTAGGTATRGGGAAGAAATCCTTTATTGTGAGGGTGGTGAGGCACTGGCACAGATTTTCCAGAGAAGCTGTGGATTCCCCATCCCTGGAAATGTTCAAGAATAGGTTGTATGGGGCTCTGAGCAACCTGGTCTATGGAAGGTGTCCCTGCCCCAGGAACTGGATGATCTTTAAGGTCCCTTCCAGCCCAGGCCATTCTGCRATTTTATGTTGTGAAATCACATATATAATACCACATAATATTTTATGTTATGTGTTTTTTTCAAAGCATCAAAGCACATTGATCTCGTCATTCCCAGAGTTGTCTTATACATATTGTGTCTATAAATACACAGCAGTCTTAAACCCACAATTGGGTTTTCCCCTGCTACAAGGCATAGCAGAATATTTTGAGCTGCTTACATTTGTTCCAGCAGGGTATCATCCTTTTGAGTCCAGCTTTCTTCAGAGGCCCATCTTGAGCACTTCAGCATGAGTGTGCAGGGGAATGTAATGAATCCTTGTGTATTCAGCAGAAACTTGTTGCCCGCACCCAGCTCCTCTGTGGAGGAATCTGCTTGCCATGTATTCTGAAATAMGACAATTATTTATGTTAATGGGGTTCAAAGGAGAAATGGGGCCAAATGCACAACTGCAATATATGAAGTTTTCATGGGGTTATTTTGATTGAGCTATTCTAACCACAATTCATGAGCCAAAATCTCATTTTGCTTTGGTGCACCAAAGGGTACAAATCATACTTATGCTTATTGCAAGCACACTCTGCAAGCAYAGACTTGCAGTCATAAAATTGGTGTCTAGGTTCACAGCAAACAACCAATGCTTTAGTAAAATAAGGACATGAAAAATTAAACAATCTCAGAATTTTCCCATTATTAACATTTTCTGTGAAGAAACTCGCACTAATGAGATGACTGCTTTTATTCTTTGCCAATTCAGTTATGCTRATTTTAGATGTGATTTCTTACTGTTATGACTACTATCTGTATTGGGATGTATGTCTTTCTGTATTTTTCTTTGTGACTTGTTTCCAAGAGGTCTGCAGGTTAAAGAAAAAATGCTGTGAAACTTTCACAAGCTGCATTGGAATCAGGACAGCACACAGGGTATAGCAGCGTTTGGGCTTTTGTTTCATGGTTCTTGCTTGAGTTTTGAGGAGAGTTTGTAACCAAAGCTGGGCAGATGGTGCTCCCAGACTGAGAAAACTCTTAGGACATCTGAGTATTTAGCCCAAATATGGTGAAGCCTGTGCTTGAGTACAGTTCTGTGACCCTGCAGCTTTTACCACACAGAAAAGGCAGGACCTTTTAAAAGAAGTGTGAAGGCAGCTGCTCTGCCTTCTCCATCCTGCTGATTTTCCAGATTCCCAGTTTACCTACTACCCACATGGGAAGGTGGTTCTCAGTTTGTGTTGCACCTCAATTACCAACAAACCACAGGCCTTTCTCATTTTCCAAGGCTTTCTGAATGCACTCATGGGTCAGCTGAGAGTAACCATRAAAGCAAGATTTTCTACCTTTTAGTTTCCTGCCTTCCTAAGAAAAAAGGTTTCTTTCAGATGAAGAATGTTCTGAGGTGTGGATGTTTCWGGCCCAAACATCCCCCAAGTACTGYCCCATAAATCCATGTGCTGCATTCCCTGGAAGTACTGGTTATATGCTAGGAATAGCATCATTTTTAACAAAATTGAATCAGTTCTTTCCAAGGAGTTCAGACATGTTTTGAATGACTAGTTCTGTCCTTCGCTTACATGATCAGGAGAAGGAAAAAATGAGTCATCTCATTTTGAGAGTTTCTTTAGAGAAGGAAAAATTCTGCTGTCCTAATGGTAGTGTATATATTATGCTCTGTGGGCAGGCAAAAGAAAAAGAGGAGGGATATGGTCAGGATTGTTTCATAAGGTGAGGGAGTTTGAAGAGGGYATATGAGAAAGGGCAGAAAGGAGCTGTCAGAATCACTGTTTTTCTTTTCCTACGTCYAAAGAATTTCATGTAATGAAAGGTGACAGTCTATCCTAGAAGGTAATACCAAATTACAGCCTACCCTACAAGTTAATATCCAGTTGGTTTCTCCACCCCCCACACYGATTATATAATACCTTAGTACAGTACTCCTCAGTTTCTTAAGARATGCAGAGTAAGTGGATATTTGATTACTTTGAGGAATATCCTGGTATGTGTATTGTGAGAAACCTAAATAAAGTAGAYGCTGAGTGCTCCAAGGGGTCAGATAAACAGGTATTGGTATTCATCTAATTTAGGTTTAAGTAAAAAGGTAATCACATATTTCTCATTTACTTTAAGAAAATAGATTACATAAATAAATTGGTAGATAGCTCTGTATTTCTTTATTAGTGGAATTTTTGTCTTTGGTTTTGGAGCATTCTCTTCAAATCTTAAATTCCTCACAGGRCAGTAGTTCCCTGTTTCTCTTCTGAAAACTTGGAATTGCAAGGCGATGCCACTGTCTGGTTTAGGATTGAGTTGTAGGTATTAGCCTGCTGTGATTCCTAAGTAACATGATGATACCTTGTAGGCAGAAGTTGGGGAACCTAACTTATTTCTTGTCACTGGAGAAAAGAAAAAGGAGCCCCAAATGCAGCCTTTTAGCTTTGGAGAGATTATCCACAGCATTACAACTGTATTGTGCCTGGAATATAATTAGYCTATTAAAATAATTTTGAAGGACGGATGTATGCAAATATAGATCATGTGTGCTTGTGATGCTTAAATGAAGTTTAAATTAATATCTGCACAAGAGTATCACCTTCAAAAACTCTTTAATAGTCATGCAGATATTTTGCTTTTTCTGCTTTGGATTTTAGCCAGAAGTATAAACAAATGAGTGCCAATTCTGTTCTTGGGCAGGACTTTGTGGTCAATATCTGCACTGCCATTCRGTTTCAAGCAATGGAACTAGCAGAGACTGTGGGAATTCTTCTTTTTTTCCCCATTCAGATTTGTGCTTAAGAAAAACACCCCCTCATGCTTCCATTCACAGTGGAGAATTTGTCTACATCTGTTACTGTCTCATAACATGCTGCCAATGTTTTTAATATTAAGTTCACTTGAGGCATTCCCTATGTCAAATATACAACTGTAGACAATTCAAGACAAGCAATTGTTATAAACTATCATTCTCTCTGAGCCTAATTTGCACCTTAATTAACTCTGTGTGTCTGTCCATAGCTCAGTGTAGTCCTGCTCTTCCACACAACATGAAGTGCTATGGTGTTAGGAATAAATGATGCAGTCCTCTGCAGGCTCATATAAAAAGTCAGCTAAGCTTATGGACTCCAGAAATATTTTTAAATCGCCACTTTTATTGAGCACTATGTGTTCTCATTAAGCCAGGGCAAGAAAACAACTTGGACAGCATAAAAGCTTATGCATCTTGAAGAAGGCAACAAATCAAGGTACAKTTTTCAATCCTTACTTTCTCCACTGTCTCAGCTCCTTTAGGTGCTTCTTGCTGGCATTTTACTGTAGCAGGCAAGAGCTTCTATGAGCGGCCTATGTGATCGTGTTTGGCCGAGTTGTGCTCATTTTTGAGT